CTGCACGAGGCCCGAAGTGTGGGGCCTCGAAAGGGCCACGAGGCCCTCGGCCAGAGCCAGCCAGGGGGCCCCCGGGGCCCCCCTCGGTCTGCAGCTAACAGCAAACTTTAGAGTCAAGCTGTTTGCTGTTGCTGCTGCTCCTGCAGCCACCTGCAGCGGGAGGTACAGCCGCAGCGGCGGCAGCGCAGCAACAGGCAGCTGCAGCAGCAGCTGCTGCGGCTCCCGCACAACACGGTGGCTCCGTAGGGGGGCCCCCGCGGGCTCTAGGCCCTCCACGCTGCAGAAGGTCATATCGGGGGCCCAAGTACCCAGCCCAGGGGACCCGAGGGGGCCTTGGGGGACCCCGGGGGGCCCCCTGCGGCCTACGGAGGGGCCCGTGGGGCCCCTGGAGGGCTCCCGGGGGCCCCCGGGGGGCCCCCCGGAGCTCCCTGGGGGCCCCTTGGCCGCCTTTTCTGGGGGCCCCCAGGGGGGCCCCCTGGGACTCGAAAGGGGACTGTTTTCTGGGGGAGAAGGGAATCTAATGCGCCCCTTTTTTAAAGCAGAAAGGGCCTTTTTAATGCGGCTTCTTGCCCCCTGCCAGGCACAAAGGCTTGTCTTCGCCTGGGGGGGCAAAGCCTTGAAAAGGGCCCCCGCAGAACCCTCGGGGGCCCCCGGGGGCCCCCCTGCGAGGCTGGCCTCCAAAGACACAGCCAAAAGCCAGTCTTTGGGGTCACTTGGGGGCCCCTGCTGCAGCAAAGGCGAAGCTACAGGCAGCAGCAGGGGCCCCTGGTCGTGGCGGGTGCTGGGGGCCCCCCCAGCCCCCCCGGGGGGGCCCCCTAGGGGCCTCCGGGGCTCGGGGGTCCCCAGCTGCGCCCAGCGGAGGCTGTGGCTGCTGCACTGCTGCTGAGGGGCCCCCAGCAGCAACTTGTGTCTCTCCCAAACCCTTAAGGCCTCCTTAAGAAGAGACAGACGCAGCCGCAAGTCCAAACAAGAAAACTCCACCACACAAATGGCCACTTCTTGGGGGCCCCTCCGGTGGCTGCTGCGGCGCAGCCGCGCAGCAGCGAGGGGGGCCCCCGGGCGGGCCAGGGGGCCCCTCAGGGGTGGGGGGGCCCCGGGGGGCCCCCTAGGCTCCAGAGGAAAGGAGAGGCCCCCTTTTGAAAACAGTTGCAAAGACGGAACAGTGGGAAGAAAGTGTTTAAGCCCGGGGGCCCCCCTTGCCTCTTTGTGTCTGTGTTTGTGGCTGTGGAGAGCCTCTCGCGCTGCTGCCGCAGAGGCAGCAGCAGCTTCTGGCTGCTGCCGCTGCTGCAGCTGCTGCTGCTGCAGCAGCTGCTGCTGCTGCGCACTCGAGGGGGCCACCCACTCGGGCTGGGGCCTCCCCCGCCCCACCAAAAAGCCCACAAAACGCTCATAGCGGTCATCTCGGGGGCCCCACAGGGGCCCCCTGAGGGGCCCCTGGCCCCCGCAGGACTCT